CATGCCCTCTGTTGATATTTCACTTCCCAAAGGAAAGATTGAAGGTCAAGAAGTTAAAATGGAGGGAGGTACTGGAGGAAAGTTCAAAATGCCTCATATGAAAATGCCAAATGTTGACCTCTCTTTGCCCAAAGGAAAGATTGAAGGTCCAGAAGTTGAAATAGAGGGAGGTACCGGAGGAAAGTTCGAAATGCCTCTTATGAAAATGCCAAATGTTGACCTCACTTTGCCCAAAGGAAAGATTGAAGGTCCAGAAGTTGAAATRGAGGRAGGTACAGGAGGAAAGTTCGAAATGCCTCATATGAAAATGCCAAATGTTGACCTCACTTTGCCCAAAGGAAGAAATGATGGTCCAGAGATGGAGATCAAAGGGGAGGCTGGAAAATTCAAGATGCCTCACATGAAAATGCCAGATATTAATATCTCACCACCCAAAGGAAAGATTGAAGGTCCAGAAGTTGAGATACAGGGAGGTACTGGCAGAGGAAAATTCAAAATCCCTCATTTGAAAATGCCCTCAGTTGATATTTCGCTGCCCAAAGGAAAAATTGGCAAAATTGAAGGGGCAGAGCTGAGGATAGGGGTAGATGGAGATAAATCCAAAATGCAACAAGTGACAATGCCCTCAGTTGACATTTCATTGCCAAAAGGAAAGACTGAAGGCCCCAAAGCTGTGATGAACTTACCAACTGTTGAGGCAGGAGGGAAAATTAAAAAACCACAAGTCTCGTCACTGGATATAGAAATCGATGCGACCTCTGGAAAACCTAAAAAAGACACAAAGACTCATGGGGAAGTTGATTTGCATGGTGAAGGAGAGCACAAAGGTCTGAAACTCAAGATGCCAACAATAGATATCAAAGGTCCAAAAGGAGACTTGGAGCTTGATATAGGAATTCATAGAGGAGAGGATAAAACAGACAAGAAAAAAGTTGAACTACCTGACCTGGATCTCAACACAGCAGGAACTAGCAGCAAAGCAAAAGGGCCTAAAGTTAAAGGAACAAAATTCAAGATTGGAAAACCAAAAAAGAAAACTGGCAAAGATCTAGCAGAGAAGGAGCACGGATGCAAGGTCAAAGAAAGATTTGAGTATGAAGTTGAAGTTGAAACTCACAATGGACATAAAGATGACAAAGATCGCATTAACGTCTCTGTGTCGGAAGTTACAGTACCAGGCGTTAGTATGAAAACCAAACAAGGTTCTACCAACCTAGAAACAAGGGGAGCATTTGAGCTGTTATCACAGAGTGGAGAGATCAAAGTCCCCAGGATTCCTGACATAGAGTTTGATATTTGTACATCACAAGATGAAGATGATGATAAAACAGAAAAAGGAAAGAAAATCAAAATCCCAAAGTTTGGTGTCCCATTACCCTCCATTTCCTCTCCCGAGAGAAGAATCTATGGGCCAGAAATTCAGTATGAGGGCCCAAAAATGCCCAAAGTAAAGAAAGCTGTTTTTGTCTTGGTAAATCCTTCCCAAACAAATGAACCTCCTCCATGCACAGGGCTCATGCAGGAGGCGACGACAACTGAGATTGATACAGAGGACATCAAAGTGAAGTTACCCAAAATCAAAATGAAGCCAAACTTTGGGAAGACAAAAGATAAATCAACCACTGCGAGCACAGAGAGAGAATGGTTGAGAGAGGAGAAGTCAAAGGGAGGGAAGGTCAATATGTCTCAAGTGTCGTTTTCTCCGGGAAAATCTGGGTCGTATGATGTCAATCTCAAGGGAGACGGTTCAAGTTCAAGTCTCAATGGTGAAAACGCTGCAAGTCCTAACAATGATTCCAAGGACAACAAAGGGACATTCACTGGTAAAATTAAACTCCCAAAGGTGGAGTTCACCAGTCCGTATGGCAAGATGGCTGCTGGGGAGGGAGACACTGAAATGAGTGTGAAACAAGAAAAGGCGTTTTCAAAGGATGTGGTTTCATCTCATGCCAGAACAGAAATGCTGGACAGGGACAGCTCAGAGTCTCCTGGTGGTTCTGCCATAGAGTTCAGCTCGACAAAGGTCCGTGTTTGGAGTGACATGGAAAGCAAAAGTGCAGAGTCTGAAGAAAGAGAGTCTTCCTCCTGGTTCAAGGTCCCTAAGTTCACCCTGAAGCCACACTCCACAGGTAAGGACAAATGATACTTTAATCTCAGATAACAGGATGTTTGTAAAACGGATGCTGATTGAACGGAATTGCTTTAGTAAGGGCTGCTCCGATGGTCTAATCAATGTAGTTTACAATACAAAGGAATCATGTAATCATTGTCTTTCATTGTAATTGTACAATATGTTTCTGTTGCGTTGTTCTGTACACATGACATCCATTGCACGTCTGTCCGTCCTGGGAGAGGGATCCCTCCTCTGTGGCTCTCCCTGAGGTTTCTTCCACCTTCTTTTCCCTGTTAAAAGGGTTTTTTTGTGGGCAAGTTTTTCCTCTCTCAAACCGAGGGTCTAAGGACAGAGGGTGTCACTACCTGTACAGATTGTAAAGCCCTCTGAGGCAAAATGTGTTTTGTGAATTTGGGCTATACAAATAAAATTTGATTTGATTTGATTACAATTTGATTTGTTACAAATGAGGTGTAATAAATCTAAGGGTTTGTTAAGTAACAAGAATAATACAACCAAAAAAAGAATGACTTCATGACATAGGAAAGCATGTTGTCTAGATTTATAGCTAACTTGATTGGTATAGACAGAATTAACACGATTAATGTTACACAATCTGAACCCAGACTGCATTATTTCTGAGCTACAACATAAATGACCTAACAAGTAAACGGTGCCCAACTGGGGGATTTGGTGCACTGATTGTATCCAATTCAAACACTGGAAGAATTATATTAATCAAGTTATATTTAACTCTAATTATATAGAGTATAGTGTATTTGCTGTGTGGGGGGGGGGGTTGTTCGAGGGAAGCTCCTACAAAAGTCAGTTTACTAGCCATAGTATTACTCACCCTGTGTTGTGTCTTCTGCATCTCTGCAGCCTCTGCTTTTTGGAATTTTCTAAACATTTATTTTCATGGTCCTCAATCTCTGTAGTAGGGCAATTTTAGGGAGTGAATAATTGCTCAAATCTTTCAGAATTAGCAGGAGTGTTTGCATTTTATTTTCCAAATGTGTAATACGGATATTCTATCATCTCTACATTATCATATATTCTGTTGCAATATACTTGACATTATACATAATTTATCATTTTACCTTTGATGTTTTCCTGTTTTTATTCCATAAATTATTAATATATCATCTCCCATTTTATCTCTGCTACACAAGACTAAGTTTCCTTTCCTCTTTTACATTCTTCCCTCTTGATTTCTCCACCTATCCTCTTCTCTGTTTCCTCTCATCCACTTGCCTGTCCTTGTTTCCTCTCCTTTTGCCCCAGGCTTCCTTCAGATAACCCCCGAGGGTTCTCCTCAGGCCCAGAGGAAGGGGGAGGTGGGAGGTGAGGCCGACGTCTTGGGATCCTTCTGCTTCCACACCTCGGGGCTGGACTTCACCACTCTGGAAAAGTCAGAAGAGCACCAAGTGTCCTCCACCGAGACGAAAACTCTTACCACGGTGACCAAGACCACCCGAGTCACCCAGTGCTTGGTTTCCACTGAAACACGAACAGGTGATTCTTCGACAACAGTGACAACAACCAAACAGGAGTCCGACTTTAAACACTGAGGATGCTGTAATGATTTCTTCAATGTCTTTTCAGTTTGGTTGTTTTCTTTGGTGAGGTTGCAGTGTTCTCGTAAGCTCCACCTGCAACGTGGCAAACCTCTCTTAAAGAAACGTTTTTACATTATATTTTAATAGATTAAGTATGAATGTGATGAAAAGCAATGACATTTCATCGACCAGCAATATTATTATATCATATATACTTCCTTTTTTTCATTTTAATATGGCTGTAATTTTGTTACTGTTCTTTGAGTTTTGTTCAGTTAGTTTAGTCCTGATTATTATTGGCTTTTGTTTGGTTTTAAAGGTTTCACTCTGAATGTAAACATGTCAGATTGCTTCTTTATTTATTGTTGTTTGTGTGTTCACAATACGATGGAATGAGTCATTGGCTCACATCAGCTTCATGGATTTGACCATGATTTTATGATTAGTTCAAAATAATTAATTTTGAACCACAACAGTCCAGGCCAGAGTAATATTTATGTAAATATGACTTTATTTAAATTGCTTTTTTGAAGCAGTAACCCTTCAATCTGAAATGTAATTATTTTCATATTCACCAGAGTCAGGAGTGGAAGTTGTATTTTTTCTGACCTGATAACATATTTTGTTTGTCTCGAAGGAAAAGTGTGAGCTTTTTGGGATCATGGCTTGTTCTCATTTTCTGCCATAGTTTTTATATTTGATTCATTTAGCTGGTGCTGTTACCCAGACATATTCACAATGAGTGGGCAGGACACTCTGGACTCTATCTGCTGTGGGGATCAAACCTGTGACCACCTGGTTGAAGGTTGCTCTCTGACATATAAGCCAACCTGCTGCTAATCTATTTTATGTATTTACTGTACACTGCCAGATAAAGACACCACTGTATATTATGTGATTGAGGCTCAAAGATACACCTCCTGAGTGATGTTGATGTTTTGATGACAGCAAACTGGGAGGATATATCGGTTTCTATGGGTAAATGCTATTGTAAAGGTAAAAATATATATATAAAATAACCCTCTAAAAATGATATCACTAAGGCTGCTACAATGACACACAGGCTAAGGAGTGGCAAGCCTTCAGCTTTTTACAAAGGCCATCACACAACATAGTTAATCTATAGACAGAACAGAGAGGATCAAAAATAAAAGGATGGAGGCATGTTTTCTAATTTCATTAAAATATTCTCAATAATTCTTCTGTTTTTTGTATGAATATTTCTAAGAATGTCAATAGAGGTTTACTTGCAGTTAAAATTACAGATTAATAAATGCATTTTATTACCTTTACCCATTATTTTTCAGGTGTTTCCTCCATTTAAAATAAAAGTTGCTCTGAGGGAGAAGATATATATTACGTATATATATAGAATATTTATTATGTATTTAAAGTTTCACTCGCAAATGCAGTAAATACCATTCAAAGCAAAATTTACCTTTGAAAAGTTTTCATTTTATACATTACTTATTTAGACATTTACTTGACAAAGGTTGCAAAAATCTGAGGAATCAAAACTATTATTCAAGAGGATGTGAAGCATTTGAGAATGAAGACCTTATCACTTTACTTGGTTTATTTACTCGGTTGGTAGAAGGAATGAAATCGTGTGATTGTCCTCACAAATCCTCTCCCACATTTTTTACATTAACATTTAATTCTGTACTTGTTTTGCAGAGTTTAGTGACACGTGGAGGTAACACACATAATTTCTGTGTCTATGGAGATTTTACACTTTCTGGTTTAATCAAGTCTTCGCATTTCTTTTAGATTATAAGGGTTTTGGTGCCATGTGTTTTTGTCAAAGCTGCATTGGAAAGAATGTTGGTAAAGATGTTTCATCAATAAAAAAATATTCACTCAAACATTGTTCAAATGATTGTTCACTCATGTCTTGACCTTCACTCCGACTGAAAACAGCTTTTGGCTCATTGGTCTTTCCTCAGGTTTTCATTGTCATCTATGAATCTGACACATTGACTCCTCTATCATCAACCCACATATCGACTGCACGAGGTTGGAGCCAATCCATCCTCTGACTAATTTAAATTTGGTAGAGATGAAGAGTAGTTTGGAAGCACAGTTACACCAGAAAAAGTGTTATATAATAATATATGTTAATAATAATAATATTACATTTTATGTCCTGGTGGCTGTCTAGACACCCAAGCCTTACAATATCTCAAAAATAGACACAAATAATCAAAGAAAGAACAAGTTTTAAAAACAACACAACACATGTAACACAAGAATAGCTTAATAAATAAGATCAAGGTTAAAAGCAGGTTAATGACTGTTTGCTGTTATACTGTCGAAGATGTGGCAATGAAACAATGGACACACGCACAGAAATAAAAGCAGTGACACTGATTCATCTGAATAGAATAGAATAGAATGCCTTTAATGTCATCATACAATGAAGCATGGCGAAATTACAGCAGCTAAGGTGCATTTAGTAAAAAAAGTAATAAAGATAACAATAAAAATAAACATGTTTACATGGAAAAAAACACCTTACAAACTATACAAAATAGTGCAAAAGAGGTGCAAAAGGAGGTAGTTGTGGTTGGATTGTATAAAAACATTTTTTGGAGTTCAGTGTTCTGACAGCCCATGGATAGAAGCTGTTCCTCAGTCTATTTGTTCTGCATTTTAATGACCTGAGCCGCTTCCCCGACAGCATCAGGTCAAACAGTCCATGTCCAGGGTGGAAAGTGTCCCTGGAGATTCTCTGCGCTCTGCTTAGGCAGTGGGAGCTGGCAATGTTTTCCAGGGGGGGCCGAGGGGAACCAGTGATCCTCTCTGCGGCCCTGGTAATCCTTTGCAGAGCCTTCCTGTCTGCAGTCGAGCAGGCGGTGAACCACACTGTGGCACAGTACATCAACACCGGCTCTATGTTGGACCGGTAAAAGGACACCAGCAGTTTCTCCTCCAGATGGTTCYTCCGCAGCACCCGCAGGAAGTGGTGTCTCTGCTGGGCCTTTTTGACCAGCACCAATGTGTTGGCTGACAAGGTGAGGTCCTCAGGGATGTGTGTCCCCACGTATTTAAATGAGGCCACTCTCTCCAAGCTCAGTCTGTTGATGGTCAGTGGAGCATGGACCCCACTCTGCCTCCTGAAGTCAAGGATCAACTCTTTGGTCTTGGGGGATGAAGGCTTTGGCACGGAGCACTTTGCCCAGTACTCCGTCCGGTCCGGCAGCTTTTCGTGGATTAACTGCCTTCAGTGGGCACCTCACCTGATGGACCTGGAGGGTGCAGGTGAGAGGGCTGGAGGGGCGGTGGGACACTGTAGGAGTGGCAGTTGTTAAAGTCATTGTTAACCAGTAATAAAGAGACAGAACTCACAGATACAGGTCAATATACAATGGTATGGTCAATACATAATTTTCCTTGCAACTTCAACCAATGGTAACCAGACAAAAACATAAACATACATATGAAAGACAAATCGTCCATCTGACAAACAGGAAAGGAACAGGAAAAATGTGTTTTTACTCAATCTAAGTCACATCTGCAGAGTAAGCCACAGAGGACGGGGCCCCAACAGAACGACCACGTTTTTAATTACCTAGTTAATTTTTTTACCAGATTAAGAAAGTGAATAAATAATGTCCTAGATCTGCGCTTTTGAAATCTGCTTCGTGGAAATCTCAGGCGCAATCCTGCAGAAAAACAAACTTGCAGGGGCTAAATCTGAACTTCCTTAACAAGTTGCACCGAGAGGTGGGTGTTCCACAACAGCAGACGAGCATGTCAGGTTTCCTCTCCAAAAACCGTTGCAGTGGACACGGTTATACAACGTGTGATGGTTAAGGACTGAAGAGACTAAGCCTGGTTTGATGAATCTGGATTTCTGCTGAGACCGCAGACAGTGCTCAGAATTTGGCCTCAATGCCATGAATCTATAGATCCAAACTGCTTTTAGTGCACTGTGCATTAAATATAGAGCTATGCCTCTCCACAGCTTTAGCATCACAATCACGGTGAGAAAATGCAGGGTGTCGTCTGTATCCTGCTTAAATCACATGGATTAGACCTGTTCACATAGAGAATACACTGTCACATCAGATGGTTTATTAAAGAAAAAACAAACACAGCAAAATTATCTTTATTCTCACCTTTGAAAACTAAAAAGAAAAGAGAGAGAGACAGAATAAAACAGGTGAACTGAAAAATGCCTGAAGAAGAGGAGAGAGTGGTCGACTATTCACAGAGTGTATGACGTCTTCCCATTGTGTGTGTGTGTGTGTGTGTGTGTGTGTGTGTTCCCGATCTACTCATCTGCTGCTGTGATGATGCTGTGCGACGTAGGCTACAAGGGTGTGCGTGTGTGGGGCGGGGGGGGAGATTAATACTGTATGAGGAACAAACAGTGCCACAGAAAGGCGGAGGGAGGGACTGAAGCTTCACCTTTACTGTTTGCATCTCACTGTTGACGTAGAAGCTTTTACTTAAATAAAACATTAAATATTTTAGTACCTCATAACCTAGAATGAAATTGTCATGCAGAGGTTTTATATAAGTGCACACACTGTTCAGGGCAGTGCACAGTTGCTGTCTCTCTGAGCCCTTTGTGCAGACTCTCCCTAAATTGGCAGTTTTGCAGTCTTTGCCGAAAGTAACTAGAGGAACGTCGGTGTTGTAAGGTGATTAAAAACAAAAGTGAATGGCAATGTAAGAATGAACCAATCCCAGTGTAGACGTTACAAATACAATTATAAACATAATTATATCTCCTGGCTGATTATTACCTAGAATTAAGGTAGTCCATTTTTTATTTTGACAGAGGTCAATAATATTGGCAGCACCAAGACGGTGTGTGTGTGTTTGTGGCGTGTTGCAAGCGTCAACATCTATTACGAGAAAATGAAAAGAAAAAAAAATGTTCAGGACCTAAGAAAGTGCAGTGTCGGATTTGGTTAAGTTCTTTGCGCAGCAGCGGTTCTTTACTTCAGATTAACCCTTTGGTGGGTTTTTTGGATCAGTGAAATAGCGGTTTGAGTGTGGCACCAACAAGCCCTCATACACTTCCGCTTTCATCTCCTCTCCCTGCCGCTGTGTGGCATGAATCGCCCTCCCTCCATGTGAGTGGGCTGCAGGAGGAACCAGCTCCGTCATCGTGCGCGCTGCGGAGAGATGCGGCGGCGCACGGTGAAGCATCAGCGGTGGAGGAGCTGATGCGCAGTGACCGAGACACGGAGCAAACACCCAGGGCTGTGCTGGGCCTCTGAATCCAGGCGATGGGACGGAGCTGAAAGGCATCGGACGGGTTGGTTGTGCAGCAGCGGCAGCGGAGGGGCTGGTGGTGGTGGTGCAGGCCGAGTGGACGGATGATCCTGAGCCCAGAGAAGGATGCTCCATCTCCAGGGAGGGTTGAACAGGCTCCTGTAAACAATGAGGAGGCAGAGAGGAGGACTCTTCATCCACAGCCTGAGGAGACACTGAGGTGAGAAAAGGCTTCTTCCTCTCAGGTTGTGCTGGTTTGACTCCTCTTCATCACAGGTGGCTAAACCTGCTTACTCGGTCACTTTTTGTAAAATCCTCTCAGCTGTGTGGGCATGAGCAGTGGGTGTTCAGAGGATTACAGTCACCTGTGTTTTCATCTTCAGTCCCTGAGATGATTCCGTGGCTGATGCAACGAATCATCTAACCGGCACCGTGATGGACGCATTTGGATGGATGCATTTATTTTCGAAATCAAACTGAGGCCTGTTTGTGTAGGAGTGGAGCCACTTGGACTCAAACGTTTGACCTCTGACAAACTCCCTCCTCCACAAACAAATGAGATCCATGAGTCAGTCTGAATCAGTCATTTAAAGTCTCTTTGACGTTTCTGTCTTCTCTTCCTGATGCCATCCTCACGATATCAAAACACTTTGCTGCTGTTTCATTGTGAGCACACGTCACATTTTTTCCATCAGACTCCTGATTTCCCTGTTTTGTCCCCTGCAGGTTGTTGTGTGACAGCTGAGTCAGTCCACAGTGACGAGAGGCTCTGAAGACGCCGTTACGGAGTATCGTGGGGGGAAACCTCTCCTTATTTTCAGCGCTGACAGCTCAACGTCTGACCTGAGCATTTCTTCTCTTCATCAGAGGATCTGGAGCCGCTCCAGCTCCCTTTCACAAAACAACTGACTCTGATTTACTTGTTTCTTGTCCAAAACCTCCAGTTGAGGTTGAACTGTTAAGGTACAAGATTAAGTGGAGTCACTTATCTCCTGCAACTAAGAATTTTATCTTGAGAGGATTTCAGCTGTTTCATGATGCCCTCTGTGTTTTCGCAAAACCTTTTTACTGTTGCTCTGAATCTAGAATAGATTCCTGATAGTGGCAGCTTTTCCTCTCACCGATGAGAATTCGACCTGACGGGCTGAATTTTAATAAAGGATAAGTGAGGACAAACTGATACAACATAGATGAGGCCAACAACGAGCATCATGCTCCAGCAGAATAACAACAACAACTACCCCTGTCTGAACGTGTCAGGCTCCACCCGGGAGATGCTCCAGAAGTGCTCCAGAGCCTCCCTGCCCTTCCCCAGCCGCCTGGAACTGGGTCTGGGAGACCTGCCGCTGATCAGGGGCCTCCGAGCTTGGGCCCTGTGCTCAAAGAACCGCTGCAAAGCTGGTGGTCTTCTGGGAGGAGGTCAGGCCCCCCTAGCTCCACTCACAGGCCACGGGGGCTCAACTGCCGGCCCCCGGCCTGCAGATGTGCACCTGAGTGGGGAGTGGGGTCGTATGGGGTATGGTCTTCCCTTGGGGGTGGATACCAGACAGGCTGGGATTGGAGCTTTGGTAACGGTCGCCACTCTGAAGACCTCAGAGGGCAGTGGGAAGACGCAGACTCAGTGCCTCTTCCTGCGGACTGAGAAAGGAAGCTGTTTATACTCAACCGCTAAACCTGGTTCTGGGAGTGCAAGCGGTGCAGTGGCCTCAAGCGGGGTCGGAGGATGGCTGAGAGGGAAGACAGGAGTCGGAGGCAGTGACGCTCTAGCCGGGAGGAGGGACAATGGGTCAAATCTGCCGGCACAGACTGGAGCAAACCGGGTTAGAGTGCGTTCAGGCCGGAGATGGAGGAAGTCTGGTAACGCAGCTGGCCATGAGAAAATGGGCGTGAGCAAAGAGAGGCAGCAGAGGAGCAGGGAAGGACCTGCAGGAGAAAGACAGGAAGAGCAAGACAAAGGAGGTCTGCACAGTGAACAGTTTCCCAGCATGCAGCAGGATGGCCGGAGAGCCAGGCAGGAGAAAGAGAGAGAGAAAGAGGGAGTTTGCAGAAGTCCTAGATGCTGCCACAGTGTTTCTCCTAAAACTCAGAGTGGAAGGATAGTGCAGAGAAGGGAGAGCCAGGAAGAGAGCAAGGGAGGTGAGAGTCCGAGGAGAGAAGATGTGAGAGGAATGAGGAAGGAGAAGCAAGAGGAGGAAGGAGGCCCCTGTGAGTTACAGTCCCTGGATTCTGTTTTGGCTTTGGCAAACCCTGACCTAGAATCTAACTGCCTTCACCCACAATCCCCCAGTGGCTGTGATGGTGAAGAGATTAGAGAGGCCGACAGCAGTGAGGAGCCGAAGACGCAAACCACTCCCAGGATGCACTGCTGTTCAGAGGAAGAGCAGGATTCAAACTCTGAGATTCTGAAAACACGTAACGAAAACAATGATATCATTCACGTCCAGTCTGGACTCAGCGGAGGTTTTAATGACAGAGAACCAACTGAAAATCCATGTGAAGACAAAGTGGCTAATGTAAATGGATTTCCTGATTGTGCAGAAGCAGATGAAGACAGGGAGAGAGCTGAAAGTAAAGAAGAGGAAAGGAGTGTCTGTCAGACTCCTCCTGAATTCACAGTTGTCTCTGACTGCTACAAGGACGTCTCTATCTACACCCGTCCTGTCTCCATTAGTGCTGCAGTGTCCCCTGAGGCCTCTACTCCTGCAGAGGGCAGCATCTGCCCTGCTGACCACCAGACTTGTTGGGTTGAAGGAGTACAAGAGAAGAGCCGAGCAGAGCACCCAGAGTGGCATCATGAAGGGGACTCAGGCATTGTGGGTAAAGAAGAGCTGGATGTTGAGTCTGATGAGAAGAAGGCTGTGAAACCTCAGCTCTTCTGTAAACATGAGGAAAACAGCAGCCAGGTGGAGGAGAGAGAAGCTTCATATTCCCTTCTCTGTCTCAAATATCCTTCCATCTTTGAGAGTGAAACAGAAAACAGATGCAACAGTCGGAGAAGTGAAAATGAGCAGAGAGTGGAGCTGGAGTCAGAGGAGAAAAGAGAGGAGACGCTGAATCCTGAGGAAGGTGAGGAGATCAGGGGGAGGGAGCTGGACATTATCAGCAATGAAGGTGATGATGAGCACACAAGGGAAGAGACAAGCGTTAGCGACGCACTGATGGACAGTTATAAAGAAGTGGAGAAGAACTGTGCAGCAGAAGATGAGCAGAGGCGACAGGACTCTGCAGACGGATCCAGAGGATGGAGGAAAAACCATGGAGACACCTGCAGCGTCACCCATCCTGAGGAGAACCGCGAGAGCAGCACTGACCTCCCTAATGTCGCCTGCTCTGATCCCCCCACCTTTCTTGCAGCCTCCCCGGCTAATCCTGACCCCTCTCTGCCCCCCCTGGGATCCGTGGCAACCAGCCTACCCTGTCTGGAGGAGGAGGAGGTGCTCAGAGCGCCGGCCAGAGACGGAGTTCAGGAAGGGACGAGGCGGTGCAGGAGAGAGCTGGAGGAGGAGAGGGGTTCCACCGTGGCCACTGCAGACAGGAGGAAGGAGGAGGAGGAAGATGAGTTTGGAGTGTTCATGCAAGCGGACGGAGAGCTGGCCTGGAGCGAGGGGGTCACCATGTCTGCCTCAGTGCCTTGTGGGAGCAGAGCGAGTGCTGGTGAGTCTCATCATTGTTGTTCTCTCTCCACTGTCAAGCCCTCCCCCTCTCTCTATCTCTCCCTCTTTCTGTCTCTCCCTCTTTCTTTCTCTCCTTCAGCGTTTCTCTCGCAGCTGTAGTTCAGTCAGTCGACATGTGACAGAGGAGCTTTGGTATAAGTTGACAAGCCTGACACTGAGCGGCGTCAGAAGCCGAGCACAGACTTTGAAATATGTCAGAAAAGCACATTTAAAGACATGAAAACATCAGCAGCTTCTGTGTTGCTGAGCGTGAGTCACGATACATTAGTGCAATGTTAACCTTTTGTACAGTTTCAGGAATGTGTGTGCATGTGCTCAGGTTTAAAGGGCCATGCCAGTGAGTTTGCAAGTTTTAGCCCTTTTGCTACAACCAGTGCAGTGGCCGTTCTAAGCCTGCCTGTTTGGAATGGGCTGTTTGTTCGACCTGTGGTGATGCTGGTGCAGTTTTCTGTCTGAATCTGTAAAAGTGACCTGCTGAGCAAATAAAAACCTGCTGCTGGACAGAACCTGAAGTAAAGAGCTGCTGCTGCTGCACAAAGAGATGTTGACCTGTTTATTCAAAGTTCAGTGAAGCTCGACTCTGGACATTCAGTCTTCGTTGCTGCTGTTGAGTCGTTTGTTTATTCAGAGTTTTGAATATTGAACTTGTCCAAATTGCACCAAATGTGTTCTATGTGAGATTTGTGAGCCACTACGGAGTTTACCCAGAGTTTGTCTTTCACACATGCACAACACAGGGGGAGGTTTTCTGCACAGACGCGTTCACAACAGCATCGAATCCTCTGTGGAGCACCTGGGTGCAGCAGACAGACACAGGAAGTGACGTACTAACTCCATGGCGGAGATCACGTGATCATGTTTACAGCATCATCATGAGCTCTTATCACCACAAACTTTCTTGACATCTTCGTCGGTGTCTTCTAAGTGTGTGTCACGAGGAGATGATTTGTTTTCTTTTTGTTATTTCATTGTTGCATCTGTCACGTGTTAGAAGTGTCATCAACCCCCCCCCCATTCACTAGCGGTGAATCCAGCAGAGGTCCGCTGCTGCGTTCAAACATCGACTTCTCCTGGATTTCTACGGACTTTATACAAGGAGGCCAGGCAGAGAAAGTCTCTAGAAACTCACACATCTACCTCCAGCTTGACAGACAGAGGTTATGAGGTGATGCACTGGAGACATTTGAAAGA